GTTGTATGTTGTGTTTGGGAGTTAGGGGCAGCAGGTAGGGGACGAGCGTATAGTACATTCATACACGAGTGTGCCCCTATCTCCCATTATGTTGAGAGATGCGTCTCTACAGGCTAAGCAAGGTTGTGCACATGTCTTTTGTTGCAGTTGTGTCTCTGTCCAGCATAGCGTCGAGTCTATGTTGCTTGTTCACGTCAGGTTCACGTGTTGAACACAATCAGCCCTCGGACAGTATACCCCTGACCCAGCGCCTTGTCAGCCCATAGGTGTTCAGCACAGTAATGTAGGGGCCCAAATAACTACCAATACTATCTCTGGAGCCCCTTCTTATATATAAGTATAGTATACTGGGTATAGTATTCTAAGTATTAAAGCCACTATATTATGCCCGACCGTCTCATTCCCCGTCTGAGAGTGGAACTGCACACAAAGCTCAGGCATTTCTGCACATGAACTATCCCATCTCCCAGGCGGAACCCGAAACATCGTATGACGACGTGTTGAGCGTTTAGGGTTTAGGGCTGTAGGGGCCTAGGGTTTGCGCTTTGAGCTCCTAACCCTTTGTCTCCACTTTCAACAACGAAGAATCTTCAAGACCATGGTATGGCTTTTAGGGTTTAGGGTTAAGGGTTTAGGGTTTAGTGCGGCTCACAGACTGTCATTTCGATTCTGGTCCGAGCAACTCAAACCTCGGACCGAGTCCTTGACTTACTGTAGGGGCCTTAATAATTTCCTATACTATTTTTTTGGGGGGGGGTCCTTATTAGAAATATAGTAGAATGGCCCCAAAACCTTATTCTAATTATTAAGGCCCCTATATTAGAATTGCAGGCAGAGACTTCTACTTCCAGTCCAGTATTCAGGGTTTAATCATCAACAGCGCTTATAACAACCCTTCGTCTGTGAATACTGCAAAATCTGCAAAATGTAGTTTCCTTCAGGTTTGGATAATCAAGACAGCATTTCTTAGGGCTCCGGACTATGTTTGTTGTACAATGGCTCCTATGACACGTAGGCTCTAGGGTTTAAGGTTTGGGGTCATGGGGCTTAGGGTTTAGGGTTTAGGGGTCACGTGTGGGTTTTTCGGGTTCTGAGTGTTTTGGTGGGTTTAAGTGTTTTGGGGGGTTTAGAGGTTTAGGATCCAAATCAGAGGTAAGGTGCACGTCAACCTCTTAACAACCTGCCCGTTTAACTAAGGAATTTTATGAAGAAGTCAAAATACAGAACCCTCCAAAAGGTAGGTTTCCCGGGGTCCAGGTAGGTGCCAAAACTTCACCCCGAAGCTGAGTCTACATTTACGGCCCCTTCAGACAATGGCCCTCTCGGCCCGGCTTAGCGTTCAAGGCTAAAGGGTTTAGGGTTTCAGGGTCTAGGGCTCTTCCATTCCCGGCAGCCCAGCGAGCTCTCCCCGCAAAAGGTTTGCTATGACAGCGGAAAGACTTGTAGTCAGGGTTATTGAGTTGGCCTTCTGTTCGGACCTTCATTGTGTCACTCAAGTCATAAACTGATGTTCTAAAACCCTTAACTCAAGATAGCGTTGCTTGGGCTCGCGAGGAAAACATGGGACCCCAATCTAGACCTGATTGCTAGATGAAAGGAGCCAAAAGCCATAGAACCTGCAAGGAGCTCATGATCCAGGTGGCTTAATGTAGAGGCATCAGTTAACTTTAATATGCTCTCGGTATGTGGGGATGAATTTGTAGTGTGTTGTACTAACACTACATGAAAACTGTACCTGTTCTGCTGCTTCCATTTCCTTCAGTGGAGGACGGCATCTATGCTTTTGCCGAGGCCCTACTGGAGCCTCCTGACTTCTCACAATCACAACATTTGCTTGAGGGTTTAAGATCTTTCTGTTCAGAACAGTGTGCCGCACATCTGGGGCAAAGTAGGTCACCGATCTAAACATTTATAAGAGAAGTTGACATTCACACCTTATCTTTTCCGCATACCAGAAGCCGAGAGACAAACAAAAACAAGATTTCGTCAGAGAGGTGCAGTGCAAAACTATGAGTGTCCTGCTCATTTGCTTTACTTTACTTTCTGTGTTCGTCGTCGTGGTAGTAGCAGCAATAGGCTCAACATGCGAGAATCTGCAACTGCTACACTACCCGCGGGTGTTGGTAATGCACTCGTGATTCCGGAGGGCCACACACCCAGATAGGATTCAACTACTGTAAAGAAGCTTCCTGAAGAAAGCCAGTCGTTTTTATTTTCCGGAATCTTCCCTTTTGGGTAAGCGTGTATTGGGTTTCAGGCTTGGGGCTTGGGGTGCAAATGCAAACCTGAAACTGCACCGTGTACCCCCTTCTGTGGACGCTTATAGCACAACAACTTATATACAAGATAATTTCCTAGTCACGGATTGGCAGGTTGAGTAGGCAGAGCCCCTTGATTCTGGAGTTGTTTTTGTTTGCCTTTTTGGGCCTTGGGCATGTTACACCGAGGCTTGTGGCCGTTTTAGCTTTTCCTGAATCATGTACCTTTAGGCCCATGCCGCATCCTCAGCACCCTTTCTCTTTCAGCACTCAGTCATTGCGGAGATTAGGATCATGGTGTTATGCTTTCGGGCTTGGGGATCAAGCTGTAGGATTGAGACGTTAGCACTGACTCGGTTTCAGCTTCGGGGCATTGAATTGAAACCTCAGAATAACCCGAAACCCCTAAACCCTAAAAAACCCTAGACCCCTAAATTTTGAGGTTTCAGGCTCGGGGGTTGGAGTTCATTCTGCGATTAGGATCGCGCCTTCTGGTACACTATGCACCGAAGCCCTCTCCCGTTCCAACTCGCATAAAGCTTGTGAAGACCTTGTGAGGCTTATTGAGCACCCTAAACCCGAAAGCATCCTTCGGGCATCCCAAGGTGCTTCGAGCATAGTTTGCCTGACATTCAGCCGACGGTGATGGAGCGCCCCGACTTCGATCCAGTTTGAGGGCCGGTCATAGCAATTCTGAGGCCAAAAGACCAAGCCCTACCCTAGGGTCCAAAGGACCCCAATAATAAGGTACTTTGTTGTGGATGGTTATTTTCCATTTTTGTATATGGGAGAGTATATGATTACTAGGTACTTGGACCCTTAGGGCTAAGATCAAAAAGCATAGTTGTGCTGTACCCGAAGGGTTCGGGAGTACTTTGCTTGAAAGCTTCATCGCAGTGAAAACCGAGCACAGTCAGAAGTCAGAAAGGTTTGGGGTCCGGGTTGAGGTCTTTCGCGAGTGCCCAGCCAGAAGGATTTGGGGTTGTTGGTGCTTACCGCGTTCAGGATACGGTGATGTACGGTTTCAGGCGTCGGTGTTTGGCAAGGGATGTGGGGCTTGCGGCTTAGGGAAGAGGGACTTGAGGTGACTCGGTGTTCGGGTTCTGAAGGATAGCATCGATAGCACCGATGATTTGTCCTTCACATGAAGCTGCTTTTTGGAGTGGAAGCCAAAGCCGACCCGTGGAATAGTTCGGTCCAACGCACAGACAGGGGAATATTGAATCGTACATGGAAGTGCTGCTACAGCCATGCAGAAAACCCGTAGATGTCGTAGGTTATAACTGCGGAAAAACTGTACAGAACTGTACCATTAGGCGATGCTGTGCAAACACATGCCCATGCATGCATGCATGCACTCACTCACTCACTCACTCATTCATTCATTTCTTCCTTCCTTCATTCATATTAGTTCATTCCTTCGTTCATGCAATCATTTTTCATTCATTCATCCATCCATTCATCCATGCATCCATTCATTCGTGCATCAATGCAGTCATCCGTTCATCCATTCATTCATACACCCACTCGTACGTATGTACTTACATACACACGCACATATACATATATGATATACCGCATGCATACATGCAAGCATCATACTTACATAAGCACATACATACATACATACATGCATGCATGCATGCATGCATACATACATACATACATACACTACCTACCTACGAATGTACGTGCGTACATACATACATGCATAAAGAGGCACGCAGGCAGATAGACAGACAGACACACAGACAGACCGACAGACAAACCAGGCAGGCAGACAGACAGACAACGGTACAGTTTCGTCAGCCCAGATTCTTTCCCTAGCTTGGTGCCGCCTCACGTGGCTGGGTGGTTGCAGAGGGATACAACAAGACAACCCGGGCAATTGCAAGAAACCCGTGCCTGTCGAGGCACTTGCTGGAGACCATCACCGAGATCACGAATTACATTGGGCAGGCCCCTATTGCAGGAAGTTGGAAGGGTCCTCTGTGGCGGAATGCCGAATGTCTCTTCTATGTGTTCCAGAGGCTCCGTCAATGCTTTGATACTTGGGGGACACACAAAGAATCTCTGAGGCTCTGTGAGTCCTGCACATGAAACCAATCTCGCAGATGTGGAGCGATCCAATGAGGCTGCAGGCAAAAAAGAGTGTACGAACCTCAATACCTCTCTGAGCCGTAAACCGATAGCCATAAAGCCAGTTTTAACGTTCTTTTCCGAAAATCGGACTCTCTGCAGACCTTGCCTGGCGTTGTCCTAGAAAAAAAGCCAGATACCTTGTTCCGTGTCCGTCGTCCGACGGAAGCCCGCAGTAAAGCCATCTCTTGAGTTGGCTCGCGATGGCGGACAACTACACCGAAACATTACAACATCCTGTTCTGCTTACTGTAGGGGCCTTAATAATTAGAATAGGGGGATTTTAGGGGGTTCCTTGTTAACTTATGGTATAATATACCCCCCAAACCCTATTCTAATTTATAAGACCCCTATATTATTGTTGTGAAGGGCCCTGTGTCAGTTGGGGAACATGGGCTGTTCGTCATGACGCCTGCAGTAGCCTTACAGCCAGCGCCGCACTCGGACTCGTGACGGCCTTGGACGGCTGATTCAGCCGGAGTCATAGACCCTACAACTTGACAACCCCTATAAACCAGGAGCCTTAACTCTTCGAAGCCTTTTGAACCCTCAGCACGGAACCCGATGCCTCTCGACCCCGCAAACCAACCAAAACCAACCAAGGTCATCGCACAAGTGAGAGAGAGCTGCGCCGACATGCACAACCTGTTGATCCCCGGCTTTATGGCATAAGACTTCCTGTCCTGGTATCTATGCACACGCACAACCTGAACAAACAACTGATGTAGAGAGTAGAGAGTGGCGGGTTGTGCCTGTCTTGGGGATCATGCCCGATCGCGGCCGGGCAGAAAAGCAGAGGTTTGAATCGACGGAAGAGAGCTGGGCAAGGTCTGGTATCTAGCAGTCATTGTCTTCGCGGGCTTTTAGCCGTAGATCTAGGTGTAAGTACTCAGGACCAGTGAGGTGCGCGTCCCCCCCGACATCCACAGGTATGCTGACCCAAGCTGCGAAGCCTCCTGTCTAGAAGCCCTGAACCAAGAAGCACCACGGCGAATCGCCAATGCCCCAAAACCGTTTCCAAGCTCTTTTCAAAAACCTTAACACCCTGAACCCTGCAATGCGGGGTTGTCCTAGCCCGGTGGGAGGCAAAAAAATTCTTACACCCCAAACCTTGAACCCTAAACCCCTAAACCCCTAGACCCCAAAAATTCTTCTTAAACCCCAAACCTTAAACCCTAAACCCCTAAACCCCTAGACCCCAAAAACTCCGCAGCATGAGGAAGACAAGTTGGAAGCAGGCGCAGGAGCGAAACATGCAACCGACATCTGCTCCTCCTCCGGAGGAGGCCTCTTCCCCTACCTTAAGAACCCAAAACCTACTTTTTTTGTGGGGTCCCTATAAATCCCATATTAGGGTTTATAATAAGAACCTACAAAAAAGTGGGTTTTGGGTTCTTAAGGTAAACCCTAAACCCTGATTAGGGGTTAGGGCTTTTGCAGGTTGTGTCGGTTTTTTTTATGTATGTCTTAAGGCCCGGCCGCAAATAGGGGGGGGCTACTGCAAGGTTGTTGGCGGAAATTACTGTTCCTAGCGGCTTTTATGTACGGTTGACACACGCATTACTATGGGTTTTGCACTGTTTTGTTATAGGGTTTGCATTGGGCTTGAGGCACTCCTGTTGTTCATGGGATGTTTCGGGTTTAGGAGGGTTTGGATTTCGGCAGCTGGTGTTTGTGGCTTTCAGTTTCAGGTATCCAGGCTCGAGGGACAGAGGCGTGGGGTTTGGGGGCCACGTCGGATTTGAGATTCTTTCTTCCGGGTATGTTTGGTTCAGGTTTCCGGGTTCGCCGGGCTGCGGGTTTGCTTTCAAAGGCCACCGATACCGAGAGGGGGTAATGGCGTGGTAGCTAGAAAGCCCTTGAGCCAGGCAGGTAGCGAGGCGGATGGAGGTCCCTGCCACATGGGGGTTTCCGAGAATAGGGGACCCTGATATAGTACCCTAATTAATAGGATCCCTATTATAAGGACCCCAAAATAAGGTACCCTAATTTTCTGAAACTCCCACATGCAAAAGCATCCAGTCCAAAAAGCCGCCAAGCTCCATGTACGGCCTTGAAGCTCGAGTGAAAAAGTGCACAAGCAAAAGCCCTAAACTCTAAGCCCTAAACCGCCCAAAACCCTAAAGACCCTAGAGACCCAAGAGACCTAAACCACAAGAAGAACCCTAAAAAAGCCCAAAAACCCCTGAACAAACCCTCAAACCCCAAACCCCAAATGGACCCGAAACCCTCGCCTCGCAGACCGATCCGGACCTCCCAAGCATTGACTTCGACTCGGACGAAGACTTTGACGAGCCCACGATGACGGAGGGCAAGGAGGATCCCTGGCTCCGGAGTGCGGGTTTGGATTTAGGGGTTTAGGGGTTTAGGGGTTTAGGGGTTTAGGGTTGATTCAGGGTTTAGGGTTTGTTTGGGGTTAGGATTTAGGGGTTTAGGGTTTGGGGGTTTTTAGGGTTTGTTTGGGGTTAGGATTTAGGGGTTTAGGGCCTATGGTTTCGGGGGTTTTTAGGGTTTGGGCCATTGAGGTTGGGATTTAGGGGTCTAGGGTTGAGGATTTGGGCCATTGGGGTTCGGATTTAGGGGTTTAGGGTTCAGGATTTGTGTGTTTTTTTGGGTTTGGGGACTAGTTTGCACCAAATACTGGGGTTATAGCTTGGGCTTAGGCTTTAGGCTCTAGGGCTGTGAATTTTGGAGCTTGAGGCAGTCTGGAGATGTTCGACCGGCCCGATGGGGGCTGTATTTCGGAGTTTGGGTCCTCCACACCCTGCGAGGTTGCAAGGTTTGGTGATTCATGGGTTTAGGGTTTAGGGTTTAGGTTTTGGTAAGTTCCGCGTTGGGCAAGTTGAGCTGAGCGTCTCGCTTCAGGATGCTACTCAGTTTATCTAAGCAACCTTGGGCGATGATGCAGGACTGCCCTCGTAAGTCTTATGTTTTAGTTTTGTGCGTGGCTGCTTGCGGGAGCAGGGCTTGCAGACAGGGGGTTTATGTAGTGTCATCCCTACTACCGGCAGCATGTTCGCCGCAACAGCGCCAGTAGCTGCAGTCGTCCTCCTAGTAGCACTAGCACTCGCACTGGTAGCATCAGGAGCACTAGAACCAGCAGTAGCCGAGGCAGCAGTAGAGGTCTAGTAGCAGAAGTCGTCGTCGTGCTGGAAGTCGTCGTCGTCCTAGTGGAGCAGGAGCTGCAGCTGCAGTGATCGTGATTGCGGGCCCAAAGCAGAAGTACTAAACTAAACTAAAGCCGACTTTTTAGCCCATTACTCTCGAACCGCATCCTGCAGTAGCGAACACCAATACCCATAGGCCCCATAGTAGTTCCTTTTTGGGATTACCTTAGGGGATTCTACATATGAACCTCCAAGAAGGAACTACTATGGGGCCTATGGGTAGGCTTCCGTTACCACTTAACCCAGCAGCTTCCGAGGGCAAGGATGACAAGAAGACGCCCAAGAAGGGCGACGACGCTCGGAGTCAGCCTGTCGAACTTTTCGCGTCGAAGGCCTCAGTGATGCAAAGCACACCAACACACAGACTTCATGTTAACACGGCTCCTGGTTACATCTATAGGCTCGCGTGGTCGCGGCTTTTTGCCCAGCCTGGAAGCCTGTTAAATGCTAAGCGGATGCCGGATCTTTCCAAGGATACACCAAAGACCACCGTCACCAACAACCTTCCCACCAGTTTCCTGGCCGCCAAAGAAAAAATCCTTTTTTTGATATTATGTTTGGTCTCTAAGAGTTCCAAAGCTCTAAGTCCTAATAATCAAAATCCCTAAACCCAAACCCGATTTACAGTACTTATTCTAAGGCCCGGCCGGCACCTCAAAGATCTCTTGCCCAGTGAGAGGAAGCAACACTTTTTGTATGATGGTTCAGTGGCCTCAGCCCTGAACCGAAAGCCCCGACATTGCGTAAGAGTTCCAAAAAATATCCGAAGCCCCACCCTGCAGCCTACAGCCCTCAGCCCCCAGACCTTTATCTCGCAGTGGACCCTGAGCTCCTCACCCTAAATCCGACCGGTTTAGGATTTAGAGGTTTAGGGTTTAGGGGCTTCTTAGGGTTTAGGGTTTAGGGGTTAACCCTAAACCCTAAACCCTAAGCCTCGACAGGCTTCCAAGACATGTTTCAAATCAATGCCGCCGTGATGGGATTCAGCCGCAGCTCAAACACGTGGATGCCGGTGGTTCTCGAGGCCATCGAGCGCATCGTCTTGTTCCTAGGCCGAAAGAGGTTCTAGGGTTTTTGGGGGTTTAGGGGTTTAGGGTCCTTCAATTCGGGGTCTCCGACTTTCGGGGTTCTTGGGGGGTGTTGTAAGGTTTGTGAGATTAATTAGGGCCACGGCAGAGCCAAAAATGGGTCCGGAATAAGTGCTGTAGTAGTATTTGCTTAGACTAGAACCCCAGCATTCTTGTAGCCGAATATATGCGCCAAAACCCCATTCTAACTGTTAAGCCCGCTTTTCTGGAACCGTGATGTTATGAAGGAACCCATTACAAAGAGAACACCAATCCAATCATATACCTGTGAAAGAAAACAGCGCAGCCCCAAGCTGCCGCATAGGATACTCTACCCCTCAACCCTATCGTAATTATGTAGGCCCCTACATTACTCCGATACCCAAGGCGCCCTACAAGCTCCGCCGTCGAAGGTTTAGGCTTAGCTCGGCTTTAGGTTTGGGGGCTCAGGGGGTTTATAAGGTTTCCTGACATACGCACAGCCCAGGTGTAATAGGTTAATGTAGGGCTTTCAAGGCTTGTAGGGTTTAGCGCTTGGGGCTTATAGGGTTTAGGGTTCAGGTTTTGGTGCCTATGTAGACTTTCTTTGCACAGTGTTTGAACCTGCACGCGCAAGGCACGTCAGTAGTGCGAGCCGCATACGCGAAGAAGTGGACATCTTGGCCCTGCGGTTGCAGAACTATGTTCCTGGCCTCACGCTCTCAGAATTCAAGGCGCCTCGATTCTGTGGGGGAAAGTGGAGTTGGAAGTTGAGAGTTCAAGAAACCAAGAGGTTCGAATATGCCTTGTAACTTATAACTGTTGAATTATTTCCTTAATTCAGGCACCGCTATGAATCGACATTTCGGGTTTCCCAAAGCCACCAAACCCCTACACCTCCGACATTACAAAGCGGGTGCCTTAAAACTGGATGGGGCTTTGGGGGGGCATGTTGCAGTAGAACTGCTTAAAGACTTTAAGCGGATGTGACGAGCATAGTGCAGATTGCAAACGGACCGGAAAGGGATTCGAGTACGAAGAAATCAGATGTCGGTACTGCACTCGCTCATTCCAAAGACTCAGTACTCATTTTTCTGGGGATTCCAACGGTTGTTTCTGTATAGCAGGTGATTCACGAAAATTAGGCTTGGCATCCCTGTTTCTACAGCCGCTAGTGCAATGATTACCTGTTTATACATCCCAACACCCCATCATTATTGCTAAGGTCCCTAATCCCTGACCCCCAAACCTCCTATGTGGAAGTGCAGGGTCAGCTTTGTTAGCAGAGAAGCCAGCGCCCCAAAGCCCTTAAGTCCCTCTCTAGCTCTGGTCAGGCAAAAGCTGCAGCACCCTCATCCGGATTAGGCCCCAAGCCCAAATTCAAACTTGGATCACAAATCCCCAAACCAGCACTCTTCTTAGCCGAAGCTCTCAAGTCCTGAACCCAAAACACTCCAAGACGCTCTCAGGCATGTTTACTGGCCGCACTCCGGTCCACGCTGCCGCAGGTTTGGACGCCAAAGCACGAGGAGCCTTCGAAGCGAAATCCCGTTTTGATCTACGTTAGATTGAGTATTTCGTAACGCTAATGAGAAGCTATGTATTTATATATATATATATACATATGAACTCAAACAAGGTAGTTTTTTCAGCGTCCAGGTAAACCCTAAAGTTGATGATAACTCACAGACGGAACTTTGATGTCCCTATGCTTGGCACCGTCAAGTCTCGGCCCGCATACAACCACCCTAGGCCCTAAACCCTAAACCCTAAACCCTAGGCCCTAAACCCTAAAGGACTCGCTTTTTCTGAGGATGCCTGCATCCTTTCCGGATTTTCTCGGGTCTCTGGCGGTAGGTTTTGACAGTACCTTAACCCCAAATAACCTCCTTTTTTCGGGTTCCTCATAAGAATTTCCTTTTATAGGTCTCAACAAGGTAGGGTTTTTCAGGCTCCAGGTAGTGTAAGGCGCGCAGACTTCAGGGTTTTAGGTTCCTGCGATTGAACGGCGTTGAACGGCGACTGGTTTCCCAATGTCAGGAATGTCCAAAGCGCCGAATGCGGGTCCGGAGAAAGGGTCACGGAACATAGAAGCCTGAATACTTACTGTTTGAATAGTTACTGTTATTATTCTTATAATATAGGGTTCCTTATTATAGTGATGCCGTAAAGGAGCCCAAAACCCTATTTTAATTTTTCAGGCCCCTACAGTAGTCAACATAAAGATGTGTCAGGATTCCGGGACCTCGCTCCCGCAAGCTCGATTCAGCTAAAATGATCCCCAGAACAACCCTAAACCCTACTGGGAAGAACCGTGGCTTTGT